AAGGCTATGAAATTTTGCCAGAAGTGTGATAAATGCTTTTTTTTCTTTTTAATCCTCATCAATGAAAATATATTTTCACTGATTTTTTTTTAGAGAGAGAGAGAGAGAGGAAGGGAGGTTTCATTGATTTTTTGAGAGAGAGAGAGAGAGAGAAGAAAGTTAAATTCTTGGTCAGGGAATGTGCTGGGGTTGTTGGTAGGGGGTGTGCAGGAGGCAGCCTATCGATGTTTTACTCTCACATCAATGTTTCTCTCGTCCTCTCTCTCTAAAAATCAATAAAAATACTTTAAAAAAAAAAAACTGTGGGCTGCCCTAACCGGTTTGGCTCAGTGGATAGAGCGTTGGCCTGTGGACTGCAAGGTCCTAGGTTCGATTCCGGTCAAGGGCATGTACCTTGGTTGTGGGCATATCCCCAGTAGGGGGTGTGCAGGAGGCAGTTGATCAATATTTCTCTCTCATCAATGTTTCTAACTCTCTATCCCTCTCCCTTCCTCTCTGTAAAAAATCAATAAAATATATATTTTTAAAAATTGTGGGCTGATGTCATACGGTCCTCTGATGTTTGCCAGCCTCCATGGTATCAGGGCACACTGGAAAGGGAGGATTTCTAGAGCTCCATCGCAGCCCTACTCTCTGACAAAAGTGATCCCATAGCCAGATGGTAGGAAGTAAGGAGTGGGGATGGCTGTAGGAAGGGAGAACTGACCAGATTAGCACATGGTTCCTTTGTCAGAGCAGTGGCTCATTGCACCAAAGTGGGGCACAGATGGGCTTCTAAGTAATTAGAGAAATTAAATCCTCGGCATTTCTGTTGTTGTTAATCCTCACTTGAGGATATTTTTTCATTGATTTTTAGAGAGAATGGAAGGGAGGGGGAAAGAGAGAGAAAGAAGAAAGATCAATGTGAGAGAGACACACACCCAGACTGGGCCCGAGGATAGTGCCTGCAACCCAGGTACATGCCCTTGACCAGGAATTGAACCGGGACCCTTCAGTCCATGGGCTGACACTCTATCCGCTGAGCCTAACCAGCTAAGGCCCCAGCATTTTTTAATCCCTATACATCCAGACTGCCAAAAAAAAAAAAAAAAAAAGAGGAAAGGAAGAAAGGAAGGAAAATATGAAAGACTTTTGCTTGGGAAAAGTGCTATATCTTGACATTCCTTCCCAGAAACACTAGGGTTCCTCTTCTCCCTCTTTTATAACTTCCCGAATCATGTTTCATCCTTTGCCTCTTCCCCTGGCCCCCATCATCTCCCATCTGGCTCACATATTAAGGAGAATCCAGCTGAAATATGATCTCTCGACTGCAGCCAGAAATTTCTCTCTTGTGGTTTCTTGCCGATTATTTCAGCTGAATTCCCACTAATGGTAGGAAAAACTCCATTATCAACATACTCATTAATGTTAAGACTTGATCTGGGAGCCTGGAATAGGGACTACTGCTTGATTCTGATCCCATCCTTAACTAGTTGTGGAGGGTGAGAGAACCATTTGTCACTAGCACTGACTGTACCCTCATAGTGACAGGTGTGCAAAATCTGGTGTAAGAGATACCCCTTGGCTCTGACTAAGGAGAGGGAGCTTTACAAAAGACTAGAGGGATAAATGACGTAACAGAATTACCTGCGCCTAGAGTTCGATGGGCCTTTGTGTTGACCTCCCCACTACAGAGGGTAAATGATGTCCCTAACAGTGTACTGTTTGATTGGGTGGCAATTAATATGGTTTTTAGTCCTGCCTCTGCAATTAATTTGTTATGTGGCTTTTGCAAGTTGCCTTTACCTCTCTGAGTCTCAAATTCCTCCTCTATAGGATGGGGATGATACCGTCTTTTTCTCAGGGTTTTTGAAAGACTCAAGCATAACAGTGCTATGATAATATTTTAAAAAGCATAAAGGGTTATAAAGTAGAATAGGGTATGAGGTTCCCAGACAAAGTCACCAGGGTTGACTTCTGTCTCTTGGTCTGTTTTCCTTGGTGTTGACTTTATTCTTAGATATGCTCCCTTCATGGGATGGCAAATTGATCCCAGCAGCTACAGCCTTATATTCTCCTAGTGTAGTAACCCCATCATTTCATTTTATTTTTTAAAATATATTTTTATTGATTTCTGAGAAGGAAGGAGAGGGTGAGAGAAATAGAAACATCAATGATGAGAAAGTATCATTGATTGGCTGCCTCCTGCACGCCCCCTACTGGGGATCAAGCCTGCAACCCAGGCCCTTTCAGTCCGCAGGCCAACGCTCTATCTACTGAGCCAAACCAGCTAGGGCTAACCTCATCATTTCAAAAGCATTTTTTCCCCTATTATCTCCAGCTTGGCCAGAACTAGATTATGTATTCAATCCTAGAGTCAAATGGCAATGTCCGCGCCAAGCCAAACCGCATAAATTAAAATTAAGAGTAAAATTAGATTCTGTGACCAAATGCATGGATAATAGGAAGACCAAAACAATACTTACAAATACCGTGTAAGGTAGTGTAGAGAAACTAGGAGTTTTGATGGAAAGGGAAAACATAAGGCATTTGTGATTGCCCACATTGAAGACTTCCTCGAAATGCCCTTTTACGGAAAGAGAGAAAGCTTCCCAGGAACAATACAACTCCTCTACTCCTTACAAATCCTATTGTACAAAGAAAACAATACCTTTTGCCCAGTGTGACCAAAGAGATGTGCCTGTCCACAGCTTGGTCAGATGCCTACTGCCTCACTGTGCTCTGGGGAGAGCTTCTGAGGGAGCACATGAAGATGGCTTCAGGGCTGTTTCACTGGTATCTGGATTAAGCAGGAAAAACACACAGCACAGAAGATGTGAGTCTGTTAATATATGAAGCTAAAAATCTGGAATCATGAGATATGAAGGAGCACGCGCGCGCGCGCCTTTGTGAGTGTGTGTACACATATATTTAATTACAGAAAAAGGAGAATGGATTAGAAGAGAGGCAGTGAAGAAGAAAAAAAGAGAAGACAGAGGAGTTTGACTTTCTAAGTAGATTTCATATCCTCATTGCCTTTCTCTCGACTATTAGTTAGGATATTGAGTAGGTGGAGACAAAAATATCAGTGGCTTAATAAAGATAAAAGTTCTGTTTTTCTCCCAGGTAAGAGTCTGAGCTATTAGACCATGCAGGACTGGTCAGGGGCTCTGTGCCCTGGAACTCAGTTCTGTCTAATTTGTTACTCCACCCATGGTATTACACTCAGTCCATAGGGTCAAGGTTGGCTCACCATTAATACACTGCAAAGAGGAAAGAGGGTCAAGTAGCTTCCTATTAAAGGTAAGATTTACCAAAATCACTGCTGCTCACTTTCCTTTTGGCAGCCAGAATGTAGTCACATTGTCATATACATCTGCAAGAGGTTAAAAATGTAGTATAGCTGCCCAGCCAGTGTGGCTTAGTTGGTTGAGCATAGTTTCATGCACCCGGCGGTCGCCAATTTGATTCTGGGCCTGAGCACCTTGGGCTTGATCCCTAATTGGGGACATTCTTCAGGAGGTGGCTGGTCAAAGTTTCTCTCTCATCTCTCTCTCCCTTCCTCTCTCTGAAATCAATAAAAACATATATATATATTAAATGTAGTATAGCCGACTGCCAAGCACCCAGCTATACAGAGAGGAGTCCATTAGTAACTGACAGATGGGTATATACCAATCACTTTCCTTTGCCCTTCCAATTAAAGCCAGCTTCTAGCTATCTTTCTTCCTTAAAACTCTGCATCCTTCAAAAATTGGCTTCAGTTATATATTTTAAGAAGTCATTTTTTTTACCTCTTCCTCCACTGATGATTCTCTCTGTCTCCCTTCCTTTCATTCTATAAATAAATAAATAAAATTTAGAATAAATAAATTATAGTACATTCTTTTGTCGAACTAGTTTTCAGCATTCAAAATCGTGTTTTGAAAAGATATATAAATAACATGGAAAAGTTCTCATAATATGCTAAATAATAGGGAGAATTTATGTCTGTGGTTTTTTTTGTTTTTGTTTTTTAAATAAACACATCCTTACATGAAAGAAATACACATGCACACTTACTGGAAGAGAATCACAAAAATATTTATTGCATTTATTTCTTGGTAATAGTTTTAAAAATAGAATTTCTGCACTCAAAATGGTTGATGTTCTGGATAAAACATTTCAGATACTGAAAAAAGAGAAAGCATGAGAGTACTAGGAAAATGCTAAAATAAATACCACTTGCAACTTCAAATGAACCCAGATAGTTCATGTGACAGAGTTGAAAATAAGGTAGACCAGAGGCCCTAGTTTTAGTTCTGTCATTTGCTGTCTGGCCCATGAGCAGAAGTTGGTATTTTGTTTCTCTTTCACATGGATGTTCATATAATTAAAACATGTTATTTAAAAAAGCAAAATCTTGAAAGGTACTTCCCATTTTGCTGGGATAGCAATCCAAGAGGGCATCTTGAAAAGGACCTTGGTCGTCCTTAACATTTCTGTAGAACACTGGTAGTGTGTACTTATTGATACGCTTGAAAGCCCTGGAGTTCTCACTGTGCCAGATCACATAAGGTTTCGATTTGTAGCCTGTGGCATTGCCCCAAGCAATACAATTGTCTTGTCCTTAAAAGCCTTGAAAACTGGCACTAACTTGGCCTCCTCAATACAAGAAAGTCCTTTCAGGCATCTGTTTCCAGAATAGGGAGTTTTCATCCACATTGAATATTTGCTCTGGCAAGTAATTTTCTACTTTTAATAATATATGCCCAGGATCTGAAAAAGATGTATACAGTGGGTGAAAAAATTGCCATTCACATGTCTCAGAGAACTCTAACATCTTCACATCATAAGAAAGCACTTATTAAGGGCTTATTATCTAAGCCAATTCATGCTCCTGTGTTCTCCAAGTCTCTTTTCTTCCTATGTTTTTATTATGGTTTATATAAATTAAAATCCCAAGTCCTTTTCTTAACAGAAATGCTTTCCTCCTGAGCCCTTAGCCAACAAGGACAGTTAATTAGCTCCATCACATTAAGGGAAGATCACAGAGAATTGTGGCAACCTCTAATGAATGCATAAATAAGTGGGACAACAAATCAATGTTTCTCTCTTTCTGATCAATAAATAATTTTTAAAAAAATATTTTTGGAAAAAAAAAGAATCCATCGATGGGATGCATAAATAAGTGGAACAACAGATTCCACTTATTTATCTTGTTTGTTCACAAGAATCTATGCAAGCAAACAAGAGAAATTACTGTAATTAAGCATTTATGATACAATTCAACTTGTCCAAAGTATTTTATAGTATTTTTTTTAGTATTTCTTTTTTTTAGTATTTTATAGTATTTCTTTTTTTTTTTTTTTGAAACGTAGACATTTAATGATATTAAGGTATTATCGACTTTTTCTAGGTGTGAAAAGTTTTGTGATTATGTTTTAAAGGGCCCTTATTTTGGAGAGATGCATTCTTAAACACTTACAGAAGGAAAAACCAGAGATTTGTTTTTTAAAAAAAATCACAGGAGAGGCCACCTGCAGTGGCTCAGGGGTTGAGTGTCGACCTATGAACCAGGAGCTCATAATTCCATTCCTGGTCAGGGCACTTGCCTAGGTTGCAGGCCAGATCCCCAGTGGGGGACATGCAGGAGGCAGCCAATCAATGATTCCCTCTCATCATTGATGTTTCTGTCTCCCTCTCCCTCTCCCTTCCTCTCTGAAATCAATAAAAAAGATATATTTTTAAAAATCACAGGAGAGGGCAGGACTGGTTGTGAGCAATTGGTGATCAGAAATGGGTGGGTACATGAGAGTCACTGCACTATGGTATTCTGTGAACTCTTGCCAGATATTGGAAATTAGGCATTTGAGATCTTGCTCCCTGGCATATGTCATCAGGTTGTCTTAAATAAACTCATAAAAGCCCTGGCCTGTGTGACTCAACGATTAGAGCTTCAGCGTGCACACCAAAGCGTCATGGGTTCAAATGTGGATGTGGAAGACAGTGATGTTGATGCTCCTGATGATACTACGTAGGCCTAGGCTAATGTGTGTGTGTGTAACTTAGTTGTTGTTGTTTTTTTAGAACAAAAATATTTTTGTTGTTGTTGTTCTACTTATTTATGCATCCCATTGATGGATTCTTTTTTTTCCAAAAATATTTTTTTAAAAATTATTTATTGATCAGAAAGAGAGAAACATTGATTTGTTGTCCCACTTATTTATGCACTCATTAGTTGGTTCTTATATGTGCCCTGACTGGGCATCAAACCTGCAACCTTGGCATATCGGATGATACTCTAACCAACTGAGCTCCCTGGCCAGGGCCTGTGTCTCAGGTTTTGTTTTTTTTTAGATTTTTTAAAATTGACTTTTGGAGAGAGAGGGAAGGAGAAGGAGAAAAAGAAACATGGATGTGAGAGCAAAACATGGATTGGCTGCCTCCTGCATGCCCTCTACTGGGGATGTGCCCTTGACCAGAATCAAACCTGGGACCCTTCAGTCTGCAGGCTGATGTTCCATCTACTGAGCCAAACCAGCTAAGGCCTGATTTTTACTTTTTATACCACTTTTTTTACTGTACCTTTTCTGTGGTTAGATATGTTTAGATACACAGATACTATGAGTTCCAATTGCTTACTGAATACTGGACATGCTGGACAGGTTTGTCTCTAGGCGCAATAAACTTTACAATATAGCCTAGGTATGTAGTAGGCTATACCATCTAGGTTTGTGTAAACCCACTCTGTGACATTCACAAAACCAGGAAATCGCCTAAGAATGCATTTCTCAGAACATATCCGTCATTAAGTAGCGCATGACTGAACTGTAGTATACTTACATAAACTGCACAAATATCACATATACAGCTTCATGAAATTTTACATATGGTTACACTGGTATAATCACCAGCAAGATCAAGATATAGAAATTTCAGCCCTAGTTGGATAGCTCAGTTGGTTAAGAGTGTCATTCATGCTAAAACCGGTTTGGCTCAGTGAATGGAGCATTGGCCTGCAGACTGAAAGGTCCCAGGTTCGATTCCGGTCAAGGGCATGTACCTGGGTTGCGGGCACATCCCCAGTAGGAGATGTGCAGGAGGCAGCTGATCGATGTTTCTATCTCATCGATGTTTCTAACTCTCTATCTCTCTCCCTTCCACTCTGTAAAAAATCAATAAAATATATTTTAAAAAAAAGAACTATCCCAGACTGAAGGAGACTAAAGAGACATGACAACTAACTGCAACATGTGACTCTGGACTAGGTCCTTTTGCTATAAAGGACCTTTATTGGGATTGCTAGAAAATCAGAATGTTTTTCACAGACAGCTGGTCGATGTTTCTCTCTCATCGATGTTTCTAGCTCTCTAACCCTCTCCCTTCCTCTCTGTAAAAAGTCAATAAAATATATTTTTTTTAAAAAGACTGTCATTCAGATACATCAAGGTTGCAGGTATAAATCCCTGGTCAGGACACATACAAGAAGCAACCAATGAATGCATAAGTAGAACAACAAAGTAGATTTCTCTCTCTCTCTCTCTCTCTCTCTCTCACAAATATATAAAAGATACAGAAATTTCCAGCACACCAGAAACCTCCCTGACTTCTCCCAGTTAGTATCCACCAAGGTAATCACTAAGTGATAAAGTTGAGAGGAGCATCTTTTGGTTTTTATAACAGGTCCCTTTCAAGGATACCTGAATTTCTCTAATGTAGTGACCCAAGATGGGCCTATATTAGCTTTAGAATGGGAGCTGGTTGCCAGAGGAATCAATCATATAATTTGAGGTTGGAACTTTCAGCTCCCTGCCAACCTCTGGGAAGGAGGGAGGGACTGGGGATTGAATTAATTACCAATGCTAATGATTTGATCAATTGGGCCTATGTAATAAAACCTCCTTATAAACCCTAAACTATATGGTTTGGTGACCTTCAAATTTGGTGCATGTATCCATGAAGGAGGTGCACCCCAAACTCCACAGGGACAGAAACTCCTGTGTCAGGACCCTCCACACGCACCCTATGTATCTCAATCTGGCTATTCACTTGTATCCTTAATAATATCTTTTATAACAAACCAGTAATAGTAAGCAGAGTATTTTCCTGAGTTCTGCGAGCCATTATAGCAAATTATTGAACCTGATGAGGATATCATGGGAACCCAAATTTACTTTTTCTACTATTAGTTAACATTTGAACTATTTCCAATTTAGGACTATTCTGAATAAAGCTGCTATAAATACTCTTGTACTTTTTGTTGGATATAAATACTCATTTCTTTTGGATTTATAACCAGAAGTAGGACTGCTGGATAAGGTACACGTATTTACTTTTAGTAGGTACTGCTACAGGTTTTTCCAAATTGTGCCAGTTTACATGCCCACTAGCAATGTATGAGAGTTCCAGTCATTCTAGTTCCTAATATTTACTTTATCAGCCTTTTAAAAACAATTGTTAACCTTTAATCTTCCAAATGAATCTTCATTTTATCTCCACAGCAGTGGTGAGCTCTGCTGTGAGGGGCAGAGATAGTTATTGGGATGTCAAGGCAAAGTATATCAACCTCGAGGATGAGCCTACAGCCTCTGATAGGAGCAGAGACCAGAATCCAAGCACAGCCCAGCAAGAGCCTAGAGATTTTCAAGGAATTCCAGATTCTTTTTTTTTTAATATATTTTATTAACTTTTTTACAGAGAGGGATAGAGAGTTAGAAACATCGATGAGAGAGAAACATCGATCAGTTGCCTCCTGCATACTCCCCACTGGGGATGTGCCTGCAATCAAGGTACATGCCCTTGACTGGAATCGAACCCGGGACCCTTGAGTCTGCAGGCCGGTGCTCTATCTACTGAGCCAAACCGGTTAGGGCGGAATTCCAGATTCTTGCTCAACGGACTCCTGCCTTCAGGGCATTGTGAGGCAAGACAGAATTAGAACAACAGGCTAAAAAAGAAAAAAGGAAGCTGATCCACTTCTGACATCTTCACTGTGTGTATGTCTCCAAAGGAACAGGCCTAACCAAGTGAGATGAGGCTGCCTTTCCCAAGGTGGCATTAGGGGTTAGTGGCAGTGCTGATCTGTGATGGCGAAGGATCCTATCTCAATCTGGTCACTGGTCTCAGGTTCAACTTGGAAAACAAACCCAAATCTCTTTGGAAGCAGAACTTCACATGGGCCAACAGAGCTCCCTGAAGGTATGAGGCCTGAATTGAAGCCTGAAGGGACCAGCAGGTAACTGGGCATTGCAGCCTGAGTCTGATCAGCCACAAGAAAGCACTTTCTGCCTTGCAGGGTGTTTTTTTTGTTTGTTTTGCCTGAGAAATGTTGAGGCTGGCCTCAAATTCCTACAGGATCTTCTGACAATGGAGGCCAGGGTGATCCTAAAGAAACCCTCTCATCTGGTGACCAATGCCAGCCCTAACTGGGCTGAGAAGCCAATGGCCACTTTCTTCTCTATGGTTCAGGATTTGACCCAATCTGCCCTGATGGAGATATAACCTGGGTCCCCAGAGGGAGGCAGGCAGTGGCCATCCCCTATTCCAGTCCTCAGTTTAGGACTGCATTGGAAATGTAAGAAACATAAATTATGGGGTAAAGCATATTTTTAAAAATATTTTTTATTTATTTTTATTTACTTATTTTTTTTTAGAGAGAGAAACATCGGCATGTCCCCTACTGGGGATCAAGCCCGAAACTCGGCCATGTGCCCTGACCATGTGCCCTGACCGGAATCCAACCCGTGACCTCTGGGTGCATGGGACGAAGCTCCACCAACTGAGCCACACCGGCCAGGGCGGAGTGAAGCCTATTTCACAAAACACAAAAGACAATGTGGCCGACAAGTCAAGGGAATCTAAAGGGAGGCGAGGTGACCGAGGGGCTGTTACGGGTTAGGGCTGGAGAGGGTCAGGCGGGGAGGAGGGGGGCTGGCGGGGTGAGGGCTCCGCCTGGGTTGGTTATGCTGGGCAGGGCAGGTTCTCCGCCAAGGGAAAGTATGGCCATACTGGCAAGGGCTCTGGACTGAACTCCACCTAGTGAGGATGCAG